TCGATTTGTGTCAAAGCGAGCGTCTGTTCTTTTCAAGAAATAAGCGTACAGAGTCAAAGAATCTTTGACATTTTTCTCCGTAGAAATATAATGTATTAAGTGCTGAAGAAAAGCTGCTACAGAATCATAGATGGATTTATAGATGCGGAAATCATCAAAGACATTACAATGCAGAGAAATTATTATTTAAAAATCTGTTTTAATGAGGAATACGTCTGCAATGAGATTTAATCACCAGTTATTAAGAAAATTTGCAATTATTAATTTTATCTAAGACAGTAGTTTATGAGCATATTTAAGAATTTTTTCGAGAGAAATTTTTATCAAATAAGCAGCAATTTTTTGCACCAATAAATTGCTTTTTTGATATTTTATAACTTGAAATGTCTATTTTTTGTTTCTCATTTTGGAATGAGTGAGAAAAATATCAGGTTGTCGATTACTTTTAATCATAAATTTCTAGAGAGAAGAGTTGAGAGTCCTTAAACCTTCTGAATACGCCCATGCAATAGTCTACAACTTTTGACATGCCATAAATTCTAAATTCGACAGTTATTGTGCATGTAAGTCCGTTTTCAAACGTTACGAAGTAGATGTGTTGGAAAATGCGCGTTTAAAGTCGGCTTACGTCTCATTCACGTCGCAATGTCGGCGACACGGAAAACTCATCGGAATTTTATGGAAACGTGCGTCGTCTGTCGCGCAGAGAGAATCGTCTGTCGACTCTCGAAATTCTATTCCGATTTCTAAAGTATACCGCTAGCGAGTATCGAGAGAAGGAATGTTTCCATCATCTCGATCGCATATGCATATAACGGGGATTGCTCTTTCGTTCTCTCCTCCTTTTTCCCATAGAGGAAGGAAGAAAAAAGAGAGATACAGTATCTACGCAGCATCTGGCGCATCGTCGCATTGGTTTAATGCCAAAATCCGCTAAAATATTCTAAAATATTCCCGAGCGGACTTTCTCAGTTTCGCGAGGCATGCGTAATAGGCATCCGGTCCAACTACGCGACGTTACGGCATGGAATTTGGCATAGTTCACGAGGGAATACATTCCAAATACTAAATCGACCAGTGACACAGAGATGTAATCTCAAATTTTCCGAAAGGGGTTGAATTAACATCGAGAGGCGTGAAAAACGCGAGATAAAGCATAAACTGCGCATTACTATGAAGTTGTTAGTTTAGAAAGAGTGAGATAGTTTGATTGCTATCGATCTCTTTCTTATTTCTCTTTTTTTTTAATATCTATTTTAAATATAGTTGAAGAGAAACATTGATACAATTAATCCTTTATAGACAGGCGAACCCATTTTTGAGTCACTCTTTTTTATTTTATGAACTCCTCGTTTGATTTTTATGAAACTTGGCCTATGGATAATTTAATAATATTTTATTTTATTTTAATTCGAATCTGAGATCAGAAATAAAAAATTTTTAATGTTTAATTTGAATCCAATATGGCAGATAGAATTTTTTGAAAATAATCTGATTATCATACATACATATACAGCCGGTCACAGAAAGATTGCAACACTTTTTTTTCAATGGGTTTTTTTAGAATGCAGCCTACTGTTCGAGCTATCGATTCTTATTTGTGGATCCATGATTAAATAACCAATCACTCGGTGCAAGCTGCATTCCAAAAAAATATGTTGCAATCTTTCTGTGACCGGCTGTATATACACAACTTGATTTTAGGAAATGTTTAATTGCAAAAAAAGAATAACAATTTCCAGTTTCGTTTTATTTGAAGCTCATCTGCGGTATTGTGCAAATAGTTACTATTGATTTTCAAACTGACCCCCAAACTTTGATTGAGCTATGTCTACTAGATCTTCCTTCATTGGAAGTTTCATCCTTTTGAAATTTGACATTTTTAAGTTACATTCAAACCTAACAATATCAAAAACTTTCTAAAATTGAGTTTCACGATAATCAGATTATTTTTTGAAATTTGAATGGAATTCTGATGTCAGAATCGTTCCGATTCTCTTAGAAAATAAGATCTTTTTTAAGTTTTTTTACTAAAAAGCTCCTATCCTCAAAAGGTTAATATACTGCGCAGAAATAGGAAAAGTGCTAGAATCAGAAAAAGTGCAGTTCATACTTATTATGTTTATAAGATGAAGTCTTATAGAGAAAAATTCTAACTAATATTACTGCGCGATGGACATTGATTGTTTGCTAAGTTGTCAATTAGTATCGTTCGTTACTGAAACGCTAGAATCCAACATGGATGAAAATAACCCGAAATGAAGTACGAATGCAGATGCATTCGCTATTCACGCAAATTGTCCGTTGATTTTTTCTCGCGGATGGCACTCTAAATAAGCCAAAGAGCATACGCTATGCCGGAGTAGCGTGCCGTTGTAGATCGTAAACTGGGGCAATTTGCTGGACCGACGACTACAGCATTAAAGTACATAGCGAGGGCCGCAGTAAAAAGAGAAAGGAAAAAAGCAAACGGCCTGCAATTCACAGACAAAAATACCGTATCGACTTATCATTTATACTTCCAACATGGTGCATCCGTTTCCGCTTTCAATACCGTGTGCCGTATTCAGGACACACATGTTTGCATGGTTACGCAGAATATCTCCATAAGGGATGGAATATGTACTCGTTTGTGCTTTCAATTGCGGATTCGACAAATCAGAGAATCCTGAGTTTTATAAAGAATTATTAAAATGTATTACGTAAGCTTATGAGACATATATGTGAGACATTTATTAATTTCTTGTGTACCTCTCTTTTTATGTTACTTATTTTATTTGATTAAAATTTTGCCGAAATCTCTGATTAATAAATTCTATCATACGCAAAATAAATTTCCTACAGTTATATAGGGTAACAAGAAAGTTTGACCACAAAGTTTTATATGTTCAAATTATTATTATTAATATGTTTAAATTGACTTTATTTGTCGTTATTCATTTTGATGTTATTTTGAATATTAAAAACGTTGTTTTGAATGTGAAATAGTTGCATGGAATGTATATTTAAAAAAAATGCTCTGAAGTGTTAGTTACATTGCATCTTATTAAATAGAACCAAAAAGATCTCTACACCAAAAGATTTTTATCGGTTGATGAAGACCGCTCTATTCAGAGACTTCATTCATGAAAATATATGCGTAGTCATTTCTGAAACGTTTTAAAGCTAAAGGTTGTCATCTTGAATGTTATTTATTATTTTTGATATTCAATAAAATATTCAATATAACTAACAAAGTTTGTTTTTTGTAAATATATGTCACTAATGATTTGAATATAAAATTTTTGGCCAAATTTTTTTGTCACCCTGTATTTTAAAAATAAATTCTGTCTTTTCGCATATAAATTTCTCAGTAAAGGAAGACAACTAATATAATCTACAATGTAGATTTATCTTAATTGCGTACTTATATTTGAATTTATATGCATTAATGTTATACATCATTTATTGCAGCAATAAAAAATAAGGTTTGAGTCTTTAATGTTTTTCATAATAGAATCAGTCTTTTCATAATAAAATATATTGCTTCATTTGATACAATATTTTAGTAAAAATAACTATAATTTTCGAAGAACAGAGTTATGTAATTTCATTTTTATTGAATAGACGATGTGTACATATATATCAACGTCACATGGTAACGAAAATTAGTTACGCATGTCGTTGTTTTAACGTTATGTAATCCATTTTATTTTTTTTTGTTAAGCACAAGCGATGAAGATAAAACGTGTTTGAAAATATTCTCAGCGTGCGATTGTCAAGATAATTCACGTTACCAGAGAAAATTTGTACTTCAACTTTAATGATGCCCGTGATGGAAGATATTTCTTCCACAGAAAGCTTCTTTGACATTTCAAATTTTATCTTCGCGTTTGTCATTCACGTCCCGACGGTTTACATTTGAATGGTCATTTCATAGCTACGCCACGAACGCCAATCATATTAGAAATAGCGAATACTCTTTTCTTTATGGATCATTCGCTTGACGTGTGCACGATAGGAAACGGAAATTAAATGAGGATCGTTCGGACTTGTCTGTATAACGGAAATGAAAATCTGGAAAATCTGGTGTGAATGGAAGAAGACGAAGCGACTTTTGAGATGGGCAGAGAAATAGTATGAGTGAGGAATCAAGCAGGGAAAAATGTTGATTATTAATATTTCACAATGTATGTCCAGAGGAATAATTTCCTGAAAAATTACTCATTTACGTGTTTCAATTAAGCATTTGAATGCAATGAACAATGTCATTTTCAATAGCTTGATTTACAACATTTATGTAACAGATAGAAATTTTTATTTTTTCGTGTGTTACATTTTGTCATAGTACGATATTAATAGTATTTGAATATAATTCGATTTGTACTATTTCAAATAGCGTACTATTAGTGAAATACAAAACGAGCACACAAATCATATTTTCAACTTTTATGATATTATTTCTAGCTATATGTATTCAATAGGAACAAAAAGGATGTAGCTAAAATTGGTCACATGACAATTATTTTTCATTAGCAAAAAAATAAATAACACATATACTTCTAATCGAAACATTTATACAGAGCTACTGAATACTTTAAAAAATTTTAAAGGATAATTCCTTAAATTTAACGAAAACTTTTATATATCATATGTCCAAAATGGTTTAGTTTTATAAATATAGGGTATCAAAATTGAAAGGAAAATTTTGTTTTTTCCAAAAATTTCGAAAATAACTTTAACACTAAAGTTATTTTGATATTGAATTTTAGCAAGTTTTAAAGTAATCCGAGTGATTTTTGAAATTTTTGGAAAAAATTTTTTCTTCAATTTTGATATATTGTCTCTTTAAAACTAATTAAGCTATTTCGTGAACATATACAGTCACATGAAATTTTCGTCTTGAATTTGTGTGAGAAATCACCTCTTAAAATCTTTTACACTACTCATTATTTACCCTACATAAATAAACCGAAATAAAAAATATATATATATTATTAAGTAAACTGGGTAACACTTACCGTTCCAGCTCCAGGATCGGTAATTTTGCACGGCAGAACTGCCGTGGTACCACTTTGAGCAAGCACCTCTCCAATTGGTCCTTCAAGAACATCTTCATTTTTACCCTCCGGGGCATTCAATGGGGCGATTGCATTATTGGCACTTGAATTCTGCTGATGCTTCGCCTGGCTTACTGCGAACATAAATTACAACAATGTTTCTTGAAGATAGGAACCACTTTGTTCGATCTGAGTAACATCTGTGAATGACGCGTCGTATAACAAATTAATAACATTAGTAACAATTTTTCTCGTCAAATCATAAATCTGAAAATTGCTTTCAGATAATTATAACATTTTGTTGAACAAGCATATTCGTTATTAAAACAAAATTAGATGTAAAGATTGTATGCACATTATGATATCTAGAAAAGATATCTGCTGAATCTCATAAATTCTTATAATAAACAAGAAAATCGAAGTATTTATAATTATCTGTAAATGAAAAGTCTTCTTACAAATAATTTTCTCGCTTCTTAATGTTATTATCACTTAATAAAGCAATAGACTTAAGTAGTTTAACAATGTAAATAATAATAAGCTTTGAAAAAATATAAATCAAAAAAGAATGTAAAATCTCTGTCTCTTCAATAATATCTGTCTCTTCAATATTAGATCATCATGATTTGGATCATCAAATAACATATAAAATTCAAAGATAACTAGAATTATAAATGAAACATAATAAAAAATAATATTAAAGGTTTATTTAGAAATTGAAGAAACGTTATATAGAAATTGAAGAAACGATACTCAATAAAGAGAGCTTCGCAAGCATAGATAATCTCGTAAAAATTGATAATATCGATTATATAAAAATATTCGAAAACATGGCTAAACCAAATAGTTTAGTCAATATTAAGATCTTCTTTATATGAAAATCATTTTTCATTTATAAAGTATTTCAAAAATATTTCAAATCTTCCTTCTACTTCTCTACGTAATAAAACGAGTTGCAGAGTGGATTTTTTTTATGGATGCTGCATGTTATGTGCTTCATTGCAATAACATTTCGATTTCGTGTAAAAAATTTATTCAGAATTTAGAATAATTAAAAATAGGAACTTTGTATAAATTTGTTCATTAATGCCTTTTTCTTTTAATTCTTACAACTTTCTTAATGCTGATTGTAGCAAAATGTGTAGAATCGATTAATTAAAGTCTCTCAGAAGATTCAATTAAATGAAAATTACGAGAATGCAGATTGTAACAAAATGTGAGAAATCACGCCATTTTCTCGCACGAGAAAATTCCGCGTCCACAATATCTGTCTATCCAAGGACTATTAGTTCTAAGGTCGACTATGATCAAGGATTAAGGACGATTTTCATGGTTGACGAAGGGCACGGCACAGGGATTGCGAGAGACGACAAAGCACCCTCCTGCACCTTTGGAGATTAATGCAGCCACCGTAGCGACGATAACGCATAACCCGAGCATCGCCCGAGTGGCTTAAATGAATAACTTAGTCATGGCAATTACGACGGGTTTGGTCGGGCGTTTATCGATGCCCAAGACGCGCCAAACCGCGGCGAATTTCCATGGATATTCAACCAAAAACTTTTTCGCTCGTTGTGCCTCACATCCCGTTTACCTTTAGCGATTGTTCACTTGTTCCTAGCTGCACACATCTCAGACTTCTCTGACAATAAAAAAAAGGAGTTTTCACCCATAAGCGTCTTGCGCGAGAATTCTAGGCGATAAATATCCGGAAAGTTTCTATTTCTGTTCAAAGAGTAAGCCCAAACTCAAAACTTGATGCTTCACGCCGACGATACAAAGTTCGTTTTTAAAACGTTGCGATATACACGCTGTGTGACGTGTACACGTTTATAGTATTTTTTCGTTTATTTCAAGTTCTTCTTACATTGTATGTAAAACTATTACTTTTACTTAAATTCCCTATTAAATAATGAATAATGTATAAACATACTATATTCATAAAATGATAACTTCGAACAAATATAAATAGAATAAGAAGGAATCTAAAGAATTCATATTTTATTAATAGTAATTTCAATTAATTTTTGTATTCTGTAAAAGTGAATCAGTGTATTGTTGATTTCAATGACTGACTTCAATGCTACACTTATAATTGTTGTAATCATCAGCGAATATTTATTGTTTTTCAGAAATAATACACTGATTTACTTTTAAAAGTTATGATTTTCTGCAGATTCAATTTATAGAAATCATAACTTCTAAAAATGAATCAATGTATTATCATTGAAAAACAGTAAGTATTCGCTGATATTACAGTTATAAGCGTAGCACTGAAGTCAGTAATAATATATTAATTTCATTCTAGAGTAGTATAGAGTAATATAACGAACGATGAATTAAGCTCCTTTGCATAGTGGAAAAAGCTATATCGAAACATGGAATCTTTGTGAACGTATTCGATATTTATCAATATTTAATAATACAAGAGACAGTGTTGATCAGCGTACCGCGTATCTCACTTGAATTTTCTCGTTGAAATGAATTAACATCGTTGCCACCGTCAGCATTCAGTATTTCAAAGTGATTATTCACTAAAAATTCCTGCGGGAAAAATACTCGAATTCTTTGTGACCGGAATAAAAAAGGAAAGAAGAGACCATTAAACGAATGACACTCTAAGGGATTATTAGAGTAGTATTTCTACCGTGAAAAAATTATAGAAATTTTCATATCATGTGATAGAAAAACATTATAATTTTAACAAAATATTAAATTTAAGAAAAAATAATATATTTTAATTAAAACAAAATATTCTTACGTACACTGAGAGAAAAATGTCGAAGTATTGCGAAGCAATGTTACTTACGAAATTTGATTGTGATGACGAAATATACATTTCTGTGAAATATATTTTATTTGTGTAATATATTTTATGTATTTATTTGTGTAATATATTATTTGTGAAATATATTTCACTTCTATGAAATATATCTCATTAATTGTAAAAAAATCATATAGATGGCTTATTTGACAAGAATAAAATTGTATTTCGCCCGTATTTAAATATAAATATTTATTTCAATGAAATAAATATATTTCTCACAAATATACTTTTAGACATCTTTTTTTCAATGTATAAAAGGCTTTTTGTTTTTTTTCTTATAGCACGCAAAATTTAATGAATATGGAAATAGCAATTAATAATGCAATAAACATCAACATTCCATAATAAAAATTTAAATATGAACTTTACCGTGCTAAAATATTACTTTCGCGTCCGTATTTACTGACTAATTAAGTTGATTAATCGATTATTCAACATTCACTCAATTTTTTATGAGACATTCTTTTTTCATATGGACATCGAGAATGACCCATGTGTAATCGTGAAAAAATTGCGTGAAAAGAAATTATCATTAACAATGTATATACACGAAAACAAGAAATAATTAGCATGATATAAATACGTTAAATCTTTTATCTTTAACTTAATCATAGACGAAATAAAAGTTCAGGCGGATACAGTTTTCTAAATTGAATTTACCAATGATTAGTATTCGCACATAGTGGAAGATTAATCTGGCACAATTTCAGAAAGTTTGCCGAATCGAGAATCGTAAAATGGTCCGGTAATAGGGGCCGGTGTGCATTTAATTAAACTTTCAATTAGATCTAAAGCTTCGGAGGTATTACGGCGATGACCTAAATTTTCAAAACGGCATCGTCTCGTTCGAGAATGAGACGTTTTACGAATTTGTTCGTTAGTATGTATCCGCGTCGACAATCTCGATGTCCCAAAGAAGCAAATCATCGAGATGTAAGGACATCGATGAGTGATCGACACGATTTCGATGCGCTCATCGCGGATAGGTTCAGCACTAACGAGACGAAAGTAAGAGCCGCAGGTTTTCAGCAACGCGATAACCGGAAATTGCTTGTCAGCCATCGAATTAAGTGTTTTCCATTGCCGGCACGAAAATAACTTGCCTGAAGTACGGAAGAGTGTGGCGTGCCGCCGTCGAACGCCCGTGTTTCTTCAGGCAGCATCATTACCGTTGAAAATTGTATGCCGCCGTGAAGCGAATACCGACAAGGAGGAGCACAGAATTAGAAACAAAATTATTTAGGCTAGGAGAACCGCTATACTTAAACACGCGATTTGCGAGAAGAAAACGTACGAGGTAGAAATATGAATACGTCATTTCCCGACAAAATTTCTAATTCTAATCCTATGAAATCTTCAAAATACCACATTTCTCTGACAAAATTAAATATGTAATATACACAGTTAAAGAATTTAAAATAAAGTAGCAATGCATACTTTTGCAACACAAAATTTAGAAACGTTAAAGAACAAATAGCAGTTTTTTACAAAACTAGAACTTTCATTGTTTTTTCTATGAATAGTTAAAAGATTGTTTTTTACATTTTAAAAGAAACAACGTATTCCGTATTTTATTGTATGTAATTAATAATTAAACTTTTTTTTAGAAAATTATAAATCAATCTTTCAAATCTTTTAGCTTTTAGCTTCAATAATTGTATATTCAACATATCATAATATCCATTTTTAGTACAACAGTGTAACGAAATTGCCTTTTCATGAATTCAAACTTACCTGTGATATATATGTGTATCTCGAGTAGAATAATTAGAAGCACGATCCAAAATGCCCTCATGATTACAAAATTACTCGTAGCTCTCTTCTTTCCTTAGACATATATCCCTTTTGAAACAGCTGAAATCCAAAAGAAAAATGATTGTTACTTTTTATTATTTTCAATACTCGTTCCTACGATTTTAATTAATTGTTTTACCATGTGAAAATCTAATACAATTGGAATCAATTTTTCTTTAAACAGTCGTCTAGTTTGATTTTTCTTAAACAAATAAAAAATAAATTAAATTAATTACTTAATAGAAGAGCTGAAAAGTGAAATTCTGAAGTGAGATTACAATTGTCCTTTAAAATATTCAATTTATGGTGTTTCATGCAGCTTCCGAAACTTAATTATGAATTAAAGAATAGCTTTTTAGTAATGCACTGTGTGAAATGTGTTGCACATCGTTTTATGATGAAGAATGTTGATTAATTTTATGTCGGGCAGCGGTCCATGCGTTTCTTGCTTATTCATCATACATTCCCATCAACTTCAAGCCAACATATTTTTCGATAGAAAAATGTACCAACAAGCTTGAAGAATTTAATATAAATAGAGCGCCGTGCCAACAGAAAATTTCAACTCCATTTTACGCGCGAAATAAACTAACGGTATTCTCACTTAAGTGATGCTAGCAGTTTGTTAAATGCGAATGTAAATATGAAGTAACAGCAAATTACATTTTTGAAGGAAATAATATAGCAATTAAAGATGAATTATGTTAAAAGAATTATTTCTATTGTTCTTCACCGCGATACAATTTTCTTTTTATAGAAACCTTATTTTAGTTATGTAAAAAAATTATTTTCTTTTTTAAGTTCTTTATTTCAATACACTCGATGCGTTCAATTTGCGAGCCATATATACCTTTGAAAAAAGAAAAGTAAAAAAAGGAATTACGACTGAAACGTAGGACGAGAGTACTACTGGATCGTGTTCCAAAACTACGCACAAGTGCCCCTTAACGTGGTATTAACTAGTTTCGTCGAATAAAAAGTACTAACTTTTTTGCGAGTACGTGCAAGTTTTTCTTAAAACTACGCTTGCTAGCTTGCAGACGTAACATTTTTGTTGAATCGAGTGAGATCGATAGGGACACGGATAACATTCTTTTGCCTAGGCTCTTGTCCTTTCTGTCTCTTTGCTTCGCACAACTCTCCTAATAACATTTTAATTTTTTTTTCTTCATATAACGCATATAACATAAATTTCGTGTAAAAAAATAGAAAATATAAAAATATATATAAAAGTATATATAAAAGTTCAAGAACGTGAAATCAAATATACGTATATTTAAAGAATTAAAAAAAGGCAAAATGAGATAAAATTAAATTTTAATGTAAATTATAATAAGAAAATTTATTAATACGAGAATTTACAAAATGGAAACCTTGAAAAATGATAAATTAATTTGTTAATAATATTAAAATTTTAAAAATAACAAAATACTTATATTTTAAAAAGCATTTAGATTTTAATTGACTTTTATTCTATATGAGAACTAAGAATATGGAGGAGATGTTGAGCATTTCCTAGAAATTCATGGAGAAACAGATATGGAAACGAGATTCTTCAAAATGCAGATTCGTGATCATGAGGAAGATATGCTGGCGAAAACCTCAAGAATATTCGACGAATTCCCGAGACAAAGCAATGGCTGAACGAGTGTGATAATATTTCGTCGAGAAAAGCTGAAGATCTTGTCAGTCTGATAAATATTCGGTCTGAATATTATTCGTATCGCGATTTGCCGTAGTCTCTTAGGATCGGCGAAGTAAGAGGCATTCCGAGGTAGTTCAGGTATATTCGCATAATTGCCGACCAGGGATCTCTTTTGTATATAACGAAAAGATACAAAGATGTCCGTCAAAAAGACGAATATGATATCGGCTGCGCATTTCGAATACCGAAAACCGCGATCGCCATTAAGATTTCCGACTACTCGTTATTCCATCTGTTGGTATCGATTCTTATAACAAACGCGACTGTAACTTTGATAAGGAATACCTTTGACATAAATCTGATACAGAATGTACCTCTTATTGAGATACTGATTCTTGACATCATTATATAACAGAATACTAAATAGTTTTATTGACGACAGTGCTGTACATGCAGTTCTATTATAATTATTTCTTTAAACGACAATTATTTCTAAAAGAAAAAGAAATTATTTTAACTTCTTTTTTACTGTGATGATTTCTATTGAATTGAAATTATTTTTTTTAATCTGTTACAATTTTTCAGTCATGAAATTTTATTACTTAATTCTAGAAATATTGAGTGATACATTATTGCTATATCGATATTTAAATTTTATGTAGATAGAAATATGTTACTCTTAATCACTGTAACATAAATTTTTACAACTGCACACTTTTAATGATAAAATATTGATAATCGAGATGTTTCTAAACACAATTAACCTAATTATTAATTTAAAAGAAAAGAAAGAATAAACAGACTATCAAATCTTGAAGAGCTTCTACAGATGAGCGACTTTGTAGCGCCACAATCGAAAGCACCGACCCATTTATACACAGCTATTCTATGGCGCTGACAGAAAAGTGTCGCGAATATATGAGCCACTTGCATGGCGCGACAAGAAGCGTTGCCCATCTAAACGCATCCGCAATTCTTTTTGTCGCGCCACGTAGTGGCCCATATGAACATATTTGCGACATTTTTCTGTAGCGCCACAGAATAACTCTGTATCGGCGCATAACGGATCGGCGCATTCGATTGTGATGCTACAAAGTCGCTCGTCTGTAGGAACCCGAAATGAAGTATATAAGTGTATAAGTTCAATATGTCTCCTTATAACACTTATCAATAAATATATAAATACATATAATTATATCAAATAGCTTAAAAATCACTTATCACATTCTCTATTATATAATACTGACCTTCAAAATAATATATATATAATGATTTAATTTTTAAAAGTTTGTCTTCGCTTCTTTTAGTACATAATTTACTTTGTAATATGGCAGATTGGCCTTCCTGATGATCACTAAATATTTAGCTTAGCGTTCAATGATTTTGCTTGTACGTAAAATTCATAGAAGAATTCTAGTTAAGATAATTTATAAAAGTTATTTAATGTTGCATACAGCATCAGAGAGAACCTTCCTTTTAAAAATAATGTAAAAGATTTTTTAAGTTTACAAATCTTTATGTATAAAATATAATTATTTTTGAAAAATTTATATACTTCTTTTAAAAATATATGTAATACATTATTTCAAATTTAAAAAATTATTTAAAAGTAGTTAGGATAAATATATGATAAAATGACTTTATGATTGGCATTTTATAAACTTAAAAACATTTGATTAACATTTTAATGAGAAATCGTCGATACTCAGTACTAAGTCTGTATTAGATTTGCGAAAATTGAATTTTCTCTAATTTATGAAGGATATTTGATATTCGTGTTTTTGTTCTACCGTAGACCTGCGATATGTTACTCTTCTCGCAGGTTGTGATTCGGCCATTTGTAAGCTAACCACGAACACCATATGTTCCCAACCGGCGTATATGTTAAAATTTTCAAAGCAAGCATCGCGCTCATGCTTTTTCCTACCAACAAACGAGAATTTTGAAATTCTCTATTTAGTTGAATTTTATAATACCGTCGTATCACCTAAAATTAATATGATATAATATAATAATTACACTGTTCTTTTCAGGAATAATATATTAAATAATTTATTAACTTTATATATACAAATTTTATAGAAGATAAATTTATAAATATTAAACAATTTCTTTACATTAATTACATTAATTACATTAATATATTATTATAC